AAAACAGGGAAAAGTAAGCGAATCACCAATGTTTGAAGTAATCAGGCAAACAGTTCGACAAAATAAAATAACTGATCAACGTATTTGTCGTGCACCGAATGAACTTCGTTATTTGGGACAATCATATCGTACTTATTTAGATTCAGGTGAAAAATATCGTCAATTACTGGCAAAATATTATGGAAAATCTGAACGTAGTGTTGATGAAACAGCTAAAATGATGGGTTTTAAATTACCTGAAAGATTTAATCATTGATTCAATCATTATGATCACATAGTCATTGTTAAATAAAATCAGGAATTTAGATCAAAATTGAAATTTTTTCCTTGTAATTAAAAAAAAATTGAATAAAAAAATTTGTAAATCTCGCAAAAACAAATGACGACATATGATTTTATCGATTGGAATTTATTGCGCATGCGTAAAACGAATAAAAACAAGTAAACATTGTTGTTGTGCGCAGTGTTCGAAAACAACAACAAAAGAATAATAAAAAATTTTTTCTCTTTTTTTCTTCGTCCAGAAACAGCAAAAAGATCCAGTTTTTCGGATCGAAAGATTAGAAAAACTTTGAACAAAATAGAGAGAAAAGATCTCTTTACGATGATGGCTTTGGGATTATAATTATGTTTCGAAATGTATGTCGTTGTCCACCGAGAAAACAACGATCATTCATCTTGAAAAACAAAATCAAAATCAATGTTTGTTTGTTTGTTTGTGAAAATGAATGACAATTGATGCGTCGTAAAATCTTTGTTTTTGTTTTTTTCTGAATGAATTCCGTATAATTATCCGAAAAAAAGAAAGAAAAAAAGGTTATTGTTCTTCGTCGTCGTCGATATTATCATCATCATCATTTTTGACATAAAGTTGAATGTAACCAACTCAAAAAACATTGCAATACTACGTTGTGATCCGAATCTCATTGTTGACAAAAGATTTTTCCGTTGGTTTTTTGGTTTTTTTGGACATCTTTATCATCATCGTCATTATCATTGTGATCGATTGTGATCAGCCAAGCATTCGATCCATCGAACGAATCGAATCGAACATCTCATAATTGGATAAACAATTTTCAATATTTCTTTTTTGCTCAAGGTAAATTTGTAAATGAATTTTCTAAAATCAAAATTTTTCTGAAAATCAAAAAAATGACGCAATCGTATCAATTATGATGATGTAAAAACATCATTTTTGATTTTAATCTTTTATTGTTTTTGGCATCAATTCAAATCAAATGATGATTATATCTTATGTCTGACGATATTGCCTAAACACCATGCACACACACACCCTCTCCCTGATTTTTTCTAAATTTAAAAATTTTTTGTCAAGAACGAAGAAATGTTTGCCAAGAAAATCTTTATTTAAACGAAAGAAAAAGAATTCTTGAACTTGAACATTATGATGATGATGAGTCAACAAACGAACTCGATTTACATCATCATCGTAATTGGATTCTATTTCCAAAAAAAAAAAAAAATATTCACATGATTACCATGTGAATTTTCATTTATATATTTAGGGAGAGAAAAGATCAAGAAATGATTCATTATCGATGATAATCACGAGCTTATT